CTCTGTATGTTCCATGTCTCTGTATGTTCCATGTCTCTGTATGTTCCATGTCTCTGTATGTTCCATGTCTCTGTATGTTCCATGTCTCTGTATGTACTGTGTACCTCACCTGTATGTACCTGTCTGATATATCCCTGAGAACCTGCGTGTCACGTGCCTGCTGACGTAATCATATATATATAGGCACCATAGGCAGACCTCGTGACGCCCGGCCAGCTTGCGCTGTCTGGTGTCAGGGACTGTATCTCAGATGACAAGGCTGCTTATTACATCTGCAATCCTCCCCCAGCCACTCTAGACACTCGATCGACTTCGGAGGAACTCTATGGCCTTGCATTATGGCCATCATCCCAGCACCACAGTCCGGAGTTTCAATGGCAGCACCACAGGCAGGAGTTTCAACGGCCATCATCCCAGCACCACAGTCCGGAGTTTCAACGGTTGTTGGACCTGCCGACTCCGGCGCAAGAAATGCGATGAATCCCTCCCCGTATGTGGCGCCTGCGCGGCTCTCCATATCACCTGCCACTACGGCCGCGACAAGCCGGAGTGGATGGATGGCGGGGTGAGACAGGAAGAGATGGCCGAGCGGCTTAAGCGCGAGGTCAAGGAAAAGGCCCGTCGTCGCCGGGCGGAAGGGGAAGGGGAGCGTGCGGTCTATGGTTCTGGCGACCGCGGCTTAGCTGCTAATGCCAATGCTGCCAACGCCGAGGGGACTCTGCTATCCCGCGACATTGCTACTCCGGCATGCAGTCTGTTCAGGACAGCCTTGGACCTTCGCAATGGGGGGACGGAACCGTACTCCCAGGCAGCCTTGGACCTTCAGGACATTGCTAGTCCAGCATGCAGTCTCTTCAGGACAGCTTTGGACCTTCGCAATGGGGGGACGGAACCGTGCTCCCAGGCAGCCTTGGACCTTTACAATGAGGGGACGGAATCGTACTCCCAGGCATCCTTGGACCTTCACAATGGGGGCACGGAACCGTACTCCCAGGCATCCTCTTTCCCGCCCAAACGCGGGAAGAACTGCACGCTTACCAGCAAGGATGCTCGTGATTTGATGGCCTTCAGCCGGACCGACACGATTCTTTTCACGTTCTACCTCGAACACTTGGTTCCCTTCCTATTCCCCTTTTACCGCCCGTCTCTCCTTGAAGGCGGCAGAGCATGGATCTTGGATTTGATGATAAGCAGCCCGGTGGTCCGGCAGGCCACGTTGTGTCAGAGTGCATATTACTTCTCTCTCGCGCGGGGCACGGCCGAGGCCAACGGAGACGTAGGTTGGGAAACCGTGCTTGCGCAGACCAGGGATGCCTTTGGGGTGCTGAGACAGTCGCTGCAGGTGATCGATGGCTCAGGCATCGCCGACCATCTGCACGGCGCCGTCCGGATCATGGCCAGCATCATGCAGGTGCAGCGTTTCGAGATTGCCACCTTGAGCTTTGGCAATTGTCAGGCACACCTCAACGCCGCTCTGGCTCTGTTCAGACAGCTCCTCGACAGCCCGGGCGCCGACAAATCAACGGGACTCGGGCCTCGGTCGAGCTTCAACGCCGTCATGAGCCGTCTAGGGCCATCATCATGGATTTGGCCTGTCCAGAGGGTAGAGGTTCCCAGTGCTGAACAGGCCGCCTTTCGCTTCTCATGCGCCTTTTTGATCGTGGATGACATTATTGCCAGCACGGTGCTTCAGGAGCAACCCAGGCTCCACGAGTATCACGCCAGCCTGATCGGCGATGGCAATGGCACCGACCCCCCTATCAATCTCGAGGCAACGATAGGGTGCCAAAACTGGACGCTGCTCCATATCGGCGAGATTGCCACGCTTGACGCCTGGAAACAGCGCTGCAAGAGAGCGGGAACTTTGAATGTCATGGAGCTGGTACACCGCGCCACCGCCATCAAGAGCTCGTTGGACGTCCATCTCACGCGGCTCGAAACCGAGCAGGGGGTTCGTCCAAAAGAGGGAGGGGGTGGCAGCCTGCTGGATGTTTTCGCCGAAGGTTACGGCCAGAAATCCCAAACACCCGCCAGCCAGAGCCCCTTGGTGACCCAGGTCTGGGCCCATGCAGCGCTCATTTATCTATTTGTCGTGGTGTCCGGATGGCAGACGGCCAGCGCCGAGGTGCGGTATCACGTTGGTCGGATCATCGACCTGCTGGCGACTCAAATCTCACCGCCAGCCTTGCTGCGCACCATGGTCTGGCCCTTCTGCGTGGCAGGCTGCCTCGCCGAGCCGGCGCAGGAAGCTCATCTACGCGCAATGGTGGAAGCCTTGCAATCGATGTACGTCTTTGGCCCGGTACATAAGGCACTTGAGATCATGGAAAATGCATGGCACAACAGAGATACAGGAGATGCTGCGAGCCGAGACTTGGCTACGTGTTTTAGAAGTCAAGGTGATCTGGTGTTGCTTTCTTGACAGGGTCTACGATGGCTAGGAATTGATACATCGAACGGCGGACCGTCTGGTGAGATATGTCCGTTCAACCAACATCCATCCAGCCCTTGCGCCCAACAGTGAGTGGCATCTCCCTCAACAGTGATTGTCATCTCCCTCAACAGTGATTGGCATCTCTGTATCAGCCATGACCTTTATCCAGGTTGGAAGTTGAACTTGTCACTTGAATTGAACATAACCCTTGTCCTTGACAAAGGTGGCATGCCATGGCACATTCCCCTCGTGGCGGGCCAACTGTGCATAGAACTCGCCATGCGCAGCGCCGTCGAGCGCCATCCCTTTGAACTTGCCGTCTAGGTGGCGTTCATCGGCATAAAAGAACCTGGCGAGCCGGGGCATGTCAGCGAGAACCAGTCTTGTCGACGCAGCGCTTCTTGTTTCCTGGAAAGGACTCACCGATACCCACGGGCCGAGTACGTGGCGGCGGCCAGACCGATCCAGAATGCCGACGCCGACTTCCCCATGCCCAGGTCGAGCATCAGTGGCACTGGCACGATGGAGACGTTCATGATGTTGCCGGTGTAGATGAACGTTTTCTTGGTCTCCGTGGGCCATGTTTCCCATGCACGGACCGCCTGCTGTGCGGCCACGTACGGGCTGACCGTGTTGACATTCAAGTCCGAGGTGACATTCTCGGCCGGAAGGGAGAAAAGAGAGTCCTTGTTGGGCGGGCTGGTGAGCGCCGCTGCGTTGTAGATGACAACGCTGGGGGCGGAGTGGAATTCGGTCTTGACCGCGTCGAACAGTGCCGGGATCGAGTCGGGCGAGGCGAAGTCGGCCTTGAGGGAAAGGATGCCTTGAGGAGTCTTGGTGCCGGTGCCCTTCCTCGACGCAACCACGACCTGGTAGCCGTCGCCGGCGAATTTGTCCGCCACCGAGGCTCCGATCCTGGGCCCTGCTCCGAGAATCAGGACGACGGGTTTGGTTGCCATTATGTTGTGACACTTCGAGGTCGAGGGAAGGAAGGCAGATCTTGGAATGATCACAGCTGCGGAATAGAAGGTAGATGAAGGGAAGAAGGGAAGAAGGGGAACGACTGTGATCTTGGACCGGCACGCTCCTCGTCTTTATACCGACCCGAGTTTACCTCTCGAGGAGACCCATCTCTATCCGGCACGCCTTCGTCCTGTCGATTTGTCATGCCTCTTGCTACAGGTTCTAGGGAGATCAGTCAGGATCAAACAATCATCCCAGCCATCATATCCATCTATCCATCATATCCATCTATCCATCATATCCATCTATCCATCATATCCATCATATCCATCATATCCAGCCAGGCTGTACATGACCGTGGGCATAACCGTACCAGAGAGGGTCAAACATCTCCGCTTTCATTGGGACCCACAAGCCGCGCGCGACACTCAGCCACGCAACCGAACAGGGCCGGGACCGGACCCCCAGTCAGGCTGGCCGCGCGCGATGAGCCAGTCTCCATCTTCCACCATCCTGTCATTGGACGATAAAGCGGTGCATTAAGCTTGGACGGCGTCGCGCGCGCGGGATACTTCTATCCTGCAGGACGCCATGTCAGCTCCTGGGCTGGAGTGCTGCAACTATTCCATTGATAATGAATCTGAGATTCCACATCCATTTCCCAAGATGGGATGCCGCGTGATTCCTGTTTTTCAGCCCAGATTGATATTTTCTTTTTCGTTTTCCAGCACACTGGACACTAGACAGAAGCCAGGGATAGCACGTCATGACGCTACCATCATGTACACGTTCAAGGTATATATCCGTCATGGTTCTCCTTGCGGGCTTGTCCATCCCCTGGATGCTCTATCGCGCTGCGCAGTTGGACACGAGCAGCGGACGGCCAGGCACCAGCACAATCGCAGCATCAAGCACGTCCGCGGCAAGCATCCCAATCCCACATCTCAACACGTCCGCGGCAAGTGCAAGCATCACGTCTGAGGTCTCACATCTCAACACGTCCGCGGCAAGCACTTGCATCATGTCTGAAGTCTCACCTCTGACCAGTTCCCGCACACCCGTCTACTTCCTCGGCATCGGCGGGCCCAATTTCATCCAACAGACCGACCACCCCGCCTACGCGCAACTGGCCTCCGTCGGGCGCGAGATCACGACCATCGTGCAACCCAAGGCAGTGGTGGTCTTTTCTGCCCACTGGCAAGGCGGCCCCGGCCCGAACCAGATCAAAATCAATGTCGCCCGACGGACGAATCTGATCTATGACTTCTATGGCTTCCCGGCGCATTTCTATGACTACGACTATCCGAACCAGGGGAGTCCGGAGGTGGCGGAAAGGGTGGTGGAGAGGCTGGTCGGCGTGGGAATTGGGGTCGAGAGAGTCGAGAGAGGTTTGGACCATGGTGTCTGGGCGGGATTTATGGTTGGTTAGTGATCATGGACATGTCCCTGATTTCCCTCGTCTGGTTTGCTGTTGCATTGGTGTTGGTGTTGCTATTGCATTGCTATTGCATTGCTATTGGTGTTGGTGTTGGTGTTGGTGTTGGTGTTGGTGTTGGTGTTGGTGTTGGTGTTGGTGTTGGTGTTGGTGTTGCTACTGCTATTGCTACTGCTACTGCATTGCTATTGCTATTGCTATTGCTTGCTATTGCTGTTGCTGTTGCTGTTGCTGTTGCTGTTACTATTACTATAACTTTGCTATTGCTACTGCTCTTGCTCTTGCTACTGCATTACTATTGCCATTGCTAACGCACGCCCGGAACAGCTTTCGACCCCAAGACGAACCCATTGAATGTGCCAATCGTCCAAGTGTCGCTGTTCGACAATCAAGACTCGGATCAACATTACCGCATGGGCCAGGCCCTGGAAAGTCTGCGCGACGAAGGCATCCTGATCATCGGCGCGGGAATGGCCGTCCATAATCTACATGACTTCCGAGCTACCAGGGGAACAGGCGCGACCATGCCGTAAGCAAGTCCAGCGAGCAGCAGTTTTTTTTTGTTTTTTTATTGGCAGTTGACGTGTGTTCCTGCTAGCAGTAGTTGTCTTTTTTTTTTGGTTTTTTTTTTTTGGATTGGCAGTCCGAGTGTGTTGCTATCTCAATCTAATACAATACAGGTACGTCTTCAGCTTTGATGAAGCTCTCAAAGACGCCGCCACCGCAAAGCCAGAGCACCGTCGGGCAAAGATGTCGGCTTTGATGACACGGCCGGATGCCCGAAAGGCCCATCCTACTTGGGAACATATCCTTCCCCTCCATCTTGCCGCCGGCGCGGCGGGATCCGATGTCGGCGAACAGTTGTGGACGTTCCCTGAAGCAAGTTTGAGCTGGGCGCAGTATCGGTTTGGGTAAGTCCAAGCCGTAGGCCAAGTTGGCGGCGGCGTAGAGTGATTTGGAAAGGGGGGAAATTACAGTAGTTCACGATACTGATTGACAAGATATTTCCTGACTCTGTATATCCCAGCCAATCCAGATTTGTGTTTACTACTGTACCTTTGACCTAGAGACCGTGATGTTTCTGGGCTTGAGGCCCGGACAGCCCACATAGAGAACGGGCTCACTCAGTATGGCTGTGTCTCCGTTATTTTCTCTTTCCCATATTAAAAGCGGCTTTCTGAACTCCTGGTCTCATGGAAGTCAGTTATTCTCCTCGCATTGTTGGAACTCATATACCAAATCGAAAACCTCTGACTGCGGTTCTTTTTTGGAGAAGATATAGAGTCTAATTGTCAAAGGTTGAAATGTTCCATGTTCGCTATCAAAGAGGCATGGGGGAGCCTAGACCATATAGGGATGCCTACCAGCCTTCTGGTTAAAGGGCAACGGCAAGGCTGGGAATGCCTAATATTAGTGCCTAAGTTTGACATGTTGGAACTCATGTACCAAACCGAAACCTCTGACTGCGGTTCCTTTTTAGGAGCAGATATGGAATCGATAATATGGCAACCCCTTGTTCTCGCTCTTTCATTCCTTTTTTTCCGGGGAACCTCTGGCAATGTCGAACGCTTTTGGAGGCTGAGTTACCATCCTTTCTTCGCCGAGCGCTGCGTGAAATGGACATCCAGGAGTGTCTTTCTTGTGTCTTTGAACAAACCAAGGGGCAAATTCCACATCGATTTTGCGGTACGAAGCCAGTTCCTGTGCTTTCTCCGATCTTGACATCTTCTCCTGTTGTTGCCAGTAGGATTCTTTAGGGTCTGGCAGCACGGTCTGGATCAACCACATCAAGGATCCCAAGACAAAAGTGATCAACCAATCCAGGATGGGGTTCACCGGCTCGATGTGGCACGCCTTGAGAGTGGTGGGCAGTGACAGACAGATGGGGATGCTTCGACCCAGCCAGCGCAGGCCCGGCGGGAAAAACCGAAAGGCAAATTGGTCAAAGCAGCCTTCTGCCACCAGGGTTGCCCGTTCGGGGCCGCTGGCCATATTTGCCTCGATTTCCTCGTTGTATCTGATCAGGTCATCCCAGTCGGTGGGGAAGTCGCGGACGGGCCTGTTCTCGACACGGAACAGTTTGGACATTTCCCGCCAAAAGAGATGAGCCGCCTTTTTCTCCTTGTCGGTGAATCCAGGAAGACCCAGCCTCAGCTTGAGGCGATGCAGAGTGGCCGCCGTGTAGGTCAAGGTATAGACGTAGTCGTCGTTGTGGCCGAAATCTCCTGGAAACAGCTTGCTGTAGTGGTCATGGAGCCGATTGATGTGGTTGACGGATTTCTTGGTCAGGGGGTGATGAGGTCCATACCACCACCAGATGGCATTGTTGTTGGCAGTCTGCTCGACTCTCTGGGTCGCTTGGTGGACAATCTTTCCGCCGTCTGACCGCCACACTGCGCGAGATCCCTGCTCGGTGACGATGAAGTTGGGGAACGTGATGGCATACACCAGATTGAGCGTAAACGCCGTCAACCCATAGCCGGCTGACAACCGCCAGATTTCTTCGTAGTCTTTTTCAGGGTCTAGAGACTCGATTCTCTGCCGGATCCAATGATACGGAAGGCGTTTGGTTGATGAGGAATCCATAGTCGAGAATGTCATGGAATGGATTGGGAGTAGGTAGGTAGACACTTGGGGAAAGAACCTGAACAGATTCCGAGGACTGTAGCGATCCGTCATGTATTTATCTGTCGTCTGCCGGGTTGATCATCAGGGTGTCGAGGGAAAGGGAACGATCGGACAAGGCTTGGGATGCAGATGGCCACTATGTCACCTGGATCATCCCAGACTCGGTACATGGAGTGCGTTAGAAGTAAGCCTACGGAGTACACTACATAATAGCGTACGCCTTTAGTTACTATACAGGAGATATCAGAATGAAACCCGCATTCAAATCCAACACTTGTCGTATATTTCTTACCTAGTGACTCGGTTAAGGAGCTTTAGGAGAGACCGTTACCCTCGTTGGTGCCTCCTTAGCCCCCCCCTTGACCCCTCCCCCGACGTCCCCCACAGTGAGCGACAGCAGCAGATCTCAAACCGGATTTCGGCAAAATCTCGAGGCCGGCAGATTTTACGGCATTGTGTAGAGTCGAAATGTGGCCTTCATTTCCACTTTATGCACGGAAATACAAGGGACAGTACTAACCACTAACCAACCACGTCTAGTAGTGTGCCACTTACATACATACATGCATACTCCTCCTCACCTCGGGTCTGGAAAATTACTGTAGGTCCATTACCTGATACTTAGCGTTGCTCTTCCTACAATCGTCATCAAGGGTGCCCCAGAACCGGGCCGGACCTTGTCCGCTCTCCCCGCGTCGGAGGGAAGAACGGCAAATCTCATCATCTTCCAAGCTGATAGGGAGCTACGTTTCTACACTCCCATCTTCCATTCCTGTCTTCCATTCCTGTCTTCCATTCCTGTCTTCCATTCCTGTCTTCCATTCCTGTCTTCCATTCCTGTCTTCCATT